GATCCAAGATCCAAGATTCCCACAAGACTCCTGGCTAAAATCTTGGATTGATACAGTGATAAAGGATGTTCCCAAATCCAAGATTTTCCACAAGACTTCTGTGCAAATCTTGGATCTTGGATCTTGGTATTGGGCAGGATGTTCCCAAATCCAAGATTTTCCACAAGACTTCTGTGCACATCTTGGATCTTGGATCTTGGCTTTGGGCAGGAATGCATTCTCTGGCATTCTCTGGTAGTGACAAAATTGCACTAAGTACATTTTGATCCTGGAATATTTCTGATTACCGGCATTTGTTCCTCATTCACTTCTCATTAGCAACTAATTCAACTCTAATTTACCTCTATGAATTTTAGTGCACATACAATTTAACTAAATTCTAAGTCAATTCTTATTTCCAATTTAAAATCACTTGTATTTCTATTTAAATTTCTAAGTTGAGTCTAATTGAAGCCTAATTGAACTTTAAATGGATTCTAATTTGAGTATGCAACATAGTTCTACTTTAAGCCTAAGTTGAGCCTAATTGAATTCTAATTTAAGTCTATTTAAGCTTAACTTCATTGTATAAACAAATTCTAATTCAGTTTTTAGTCTAATTTACTCATTTCTACTTTAATTCTAATTCTGTTTGGCTATTTTAGATCAAATGGAATTCAAAATTGAATCTAAATTTGAATCTGCAACGTGCTTCTAATTTGAATAGAAAATGATCCTACTTGAACTTGATGTAATTGAAATCAAATTGAGCTTGCAAATTAGATCTAGTTCAATTCTAATTGAACTTAGATTCCAATTTAGTTCTAAGTCAATACTGTTCTACTAACCAAGCTCTAGGTAAAACAACTCTAATTCAATTCTACCTTAGTTCTAAGTCAATTTCAATTTAAGTAATGGATTATTATTCAATGTTTTTCTTTCAACTCTAATTTAATTCCAGTCTACTTCTAATTTAGTTCTATTTCATTCTATTTTGGGTTCAATTGTAACTTTGACTCTTCCAATTTACTAGTAATTAACTTCTAATGTTAATGCCTTTATACGGTTCAGATTCAATTGTTTTACACATCTAATTTTACACTATTGTCATTGCAAATTAGGTTTGGTTTCTATATGTCTAATTTCATCCTATATTGATTCTAGTTCAATGCACATGGACTTCTAATTCAGTTTTGGTGTCATTCTAGAGAGTGGGTGTTGCTGGTGGTGAATTTAATTCATTTAAGAAAGCACATTCTTCTATATTGGAAAAACTACATAAAATCTCTCATGTTCAAAGTAACATCACTTCTCTAGAAGTAAATGAGAATTTCACTCAAATTAAAACTAATTTGAAGAAGAATACACTATTAGAATTGAATCTGACTTGTATAGCAATGAAGTTAGAATTAGCTTGAAATCAAATTCAAATTAGGCTTGCATTGAATCCCAAGTAAATTAGAATCTATAGTGATACACCTTTGAATCAAAGTATGATTTACAAATAATTGAAATAGACTCAAATTCGAATTTGAATATACAAAGTAGAGTAGAGTTGAATATACAAAGTAGATTACTCCATCCAAGAACTGTTTAGTAAACACATAACCTTATGGATTTGGACATTTTTGTAGTACATAGTTAAATGAACAAATATGCTTACCAACTGCACACCAGCACTCAGAAACATAGGTTTTGGGGGGGGGCTAGCATATATATATATAAAAAAGATGATGGGTGGGTCTGGCTTTGTCGGCTGTGTCCGTTTGCTCTGTTCATTCTTTTTGATCCTCGAGAGGATTCTTCTAAGAGCTACAGTAGCACACGGATTCAGGTTCTTGGTGTCTCCTTCCACATTCCTCATACGAACCACCAAAGAAGCCATAGGTAGACCCTGACTTCTCCCTTCTAAACCTCCCTTCACCCAAAACGGTCCAAAAACGGTCCCAGGGACAGAGACCGGAGGCTACAAAACGGAGTGGTGGGCTCCTTTTGTTGAAGGGCGGGCAATTGAGACTTTACAATTTGTAAGAAGGCCAAGGAAGTGCACGCGTGGCCGCCAACCTGCAGGTTAACGACACTTGACTGGACTTGCTGGCAAGTGGAGCCCTGAAAGGTGCCTAGGAGAAGGGTCGGATTAGCTGCGGGCAGTGCGCAGGAATGCGCGGAGCAGACTTGGGCACCGCACGCGGACAGCGCTGGGCTATCGCTATCCACCTTGGCCACCGCTACTAGTACAACATGCCAAGCTTAGCGCAGCTGCTGCTTGTTGAGACACTGGAGTTAGTTTTCCAAGCGGGTGATGTAGTGGGGCTTAAGGTGGCTGGGGCAGACCTCACCTTTTGGGAACTTCAGTCTGCCGACTTGCAGGTGTTTGAAAACAGAGAACCACTTGACGTACGAGCCTGGCAAGAGTTGTTGGTTGTCCGGGAGCCCAGTGGGTCAAGTGCGGCGCCAGCAACGTATTTTGGCATGGTCGCGGTGCCAGCAGCGTACTTCCCCGTCGCAAGAGCAACCCAGGCTTTTGCCAAGACCAACGACACAACCTACGCAGGGACGCCTGAGGAGGACCTGGGAACACTTTTCTGTGCTTGAGCCAGATGGGTTCTGGTTCTCATTGTTTTTTACTTTTGGTGGCTTTTGGCTTTCTGTCACCCTGAGGAGAGCTGGCGGCTCTGGGGACTCTTGTTGACCGGTGAGGGAATGACATGGTTTTCTGAGCAACAGATCCCTTTATATGACAACTCGCGTGAGGCAATCCAGACCTTCGGGATTTTGGAGATGCTTTACGGGGAAGGCAACATGGATCAGCAACAACCGAACCCAAACTTTCGTTAGGTTCAGGTAGTCCATAACCTACAACAAAATACCAGAACCTCCCTAAGACTTTGGCTGCCGTCCAAAAGGTTGAAACATATTGAAACCCATTTTCCTGGACCAAAAACCAGATGTCTATGAATAGAAAACCACGATCCTCCCATCATCGCGCGGACGAAATGATCGAAATATCATGAACCTGTTAGGACCAAGGCACTCCAAAAACAACATCCCGTTGTGTGTGTGGATTGGCCAAGGGTGGCCTCAAATTAGGCCTGCTTGAAGACCAAAGAGGACCAGGTAGACTCAAATATTCCAGACAGTTTCTGGAGTTTCTCAGTTTCTCCTTAGAATATAGCTGCGTGATGCTGCGTGCCTCATGTCGAAATTTCCCCCTCCGCCCGCCCTGAGCTGGAGTTCTTCTTCCGGCCTCAGACGTCCCGTCCGCCGTCCCACGTCCGACGTCCCGTCCCGTCACGGCTCCGCGCGCTTGAAAGCGCCGTCGCCGTCGCGGAGGCCGATGCGCTGCTCGACCTCTGTCCTGAGCCACTTCCGCCGGGAGACCCCGGGAGGACCGCCTTTGGCGTGGACCGCTGTGGCGACTTGCTGTGTTTGGATGCTCTGGTGATCAGGTTCTTTTTTCGGCTTTGAAGAAACTCTTGTGCCTGTGAGCATCCAGAAGAGCCAACTCCCACAAATGTGGTGAGTGTTTCGTGTTGCAAGGATGCAAAGACTGGGGGCAGAAGAGAATTCGACCACCCGGAATCACGCGAACACGCGAACCACTCGGCCAAGACATAGTGTCTCCGCCCTCTCCGTCGCTTTTCTTTGAGGTTGGACATTTTGCGGCGCTCCGTTGAAGGCTTCCTCTCGTAACTGGGCCGAGTGGGTTGAGGGCTGGTGGATGTTGAGGGCTCCGCATCCGCTGATCTCCGCTGGGCTCCCATCGTTGCCGTGTTTTTCTGTTTGAGTATGTTTTGAGTGTCCATCGCCGGACCGTACGACGTGTGGCTTAAGTGCCGTCAGCCAGAATTCCCGGCCCAAGCGAAGATATACTGTATATAAGAGGAGCACAATTGGAAGTAGGAAAGTAATGGGGCTTGTCATTGAAGCGTATGGATCTTGGATCACTAAAGGTTTTCAGAGGCAACATGATTTGATGCGCAGAATGATTTGTGCTGGGAACTCCGTTTGGCAGGGAGGCCTGTGGATGCCGTTTCAAGCGTGGCTTTTCCTTGTGAAGTCCTTTTAGGACCCCGGGACGAACGGACCGAAACCCAAGAGCGAGCCCATCGGACCACGACGCTTCGCATGCTTCGCATGCTTCGCAGCTTGAAAGAACTCAAGGCCAAGGCTCGGAGCAGCCCTCAGAACCCGATCTGAATTGGTGACAAGGAGGCACAAGCTCTAAAGGACCTCCAAACCACCGGTATGGTGGACTTCCGGCGCTGCATGTTGGCCGCGTTGGCCGCGTTGGGTGCGTTGAGTCTTTTTTTCAGGTCATGCAGTTGTTTGTTGTGGTCAGGGAAGTTGGTTCGGCCCTTTAAAAGGGACTTTAAGGTCTGCCCATGTTCCCTCTTGACATTTCAACCTCCATCCATTCCAAGTGCTGGGTTAAAGCCTTCAGCAAGAGTCTAGGCTAATGAATTCTGCTACCAGAAAAAGCAGGGACTCGTTCATGGATTCAGGCACTCAGACTCATGGATTCCGGGCTAAGCCTCATTCATCTCCGGCTGGTCTAGCCCGTCTCTCAGGTGTAGCAACTTGGAGGCTGCGATCCGTTACCTTCAGAAGGCGGTCGATGAAGCAGCACACTCACGCTGTGTCATGCAGTTGGGTGTCATGGGGTTTTGATTCACAGCAGGTGTCATGCAGTTGGGTTTCAATCTCTGGGGGGCTGGGACTGGTGCGCAGTGGACGTGTTTGCTCTCTTCTTCTCCCAAACACCTGCGGTCGTTTCGAGCCTCGCTGACCGGCACCGCGCCACAAACGTCCGCCGCGCGCGTTCCGCGTTCCCCACGCAGTGGACGACCCCAAACTGTGCATGGGAACGGAAGAAGGACTCTCCGGCAGAAGCCAAGATGACCCTCCTGCAGAATCAGGAACCTCTACCTGGACCCTGTTGGACAGGTGTTTCCTGGTGACAAGTCCGGTGCCCAGAAAGCACCTGTTAGGGTCTTCAAGCAGCCTGGCCAGGAGGGTGCTGGTATGGACCCCAAGTTGATTGAAAGAAAGAAGTACCCTCGCTACATTTGAGCCACATGGACCCTGAAACACCGCTGGGATGGGGTAGATTGACAGTCTCACAGAGAGTCCCCACAGAGAGTCCATGAAGCTCACGGACCATAGGATCCGATCTGCGTAGCCGACATCGAAGCGTGTGGTGAATTTCATCTCACCAAACATGGTCACGAGGTGCTTTGGTAGGTTTTGTAACAGGTGGGAGACAACCCTAAACCATCCTAAACCCAGGAACCTCCTGGTATTTCATTGGCTGTTCGAATCAACCGTGTTGATCCAGACATTCCAATGCTTGGACGTCGGTTTTTTCGGAGTCGGATTCCGTGGTCTGTGTGAATGATCGCAACTGGCTGTTAGCTCTTCTCTCTGCCGGGGAATGTTCTCCTTCTCTCAGGCTTTCTTACACCCGGGAAGAGACCCACATGGAACCTGAAAATGCATCTTGGGAAGACTAGTTTCCTCTACAACCCAGTGGTGTTCAGGTTCCATGTTAATTTTCCAGGGCGTACAACATTTCTCTTTTTTCCTCACCAATAGTTGCGATTCTTCACACCGACGTCGGATTCTTCAGGCGGAGGAGCTCCATGGCCTCGAGGGGCATTTCCAGGACGGGAGATTGACGCGGGGAGGTACGCGATGAAGTTGGGATCCGGGAGAGATGAAGTTGGCAGTGGCAGTAACAGCCAGTATATCATAGAAGTCGTGTAGCAAAGGGCACTACACTCCCGGACATACGCGTGGAGGGGACATTGGCTGAACCCATTCAGATTTTAACCATGAGGTTCCGAAGACCACATAGGTGGTGGTGATAAACCGGCGTCACCATGAAACCATGCGGGGGAGGGTCTCGTTGCAAATCAGTTGCAGCGCCAGCGCTGCTGGTCACTCCCACCGCGCGGGCGTCGAAGTGGGACCCCCGGTGCAGAGGACGTCGTGGTCGGACCATGCAGGTCTCCAACGGTCCGGGTGGATCCAGGGACCCGGAGACTGTAGACTTAGATGGTCTTTGAAAACCCCACCTTGTAGGACCTGAAGAGGTCCTACAATCCATACGTGTTTTATTTTATATTGAAAATGTAATGAATCAAGAGTCTAGAGGAGTCTAGAGTCCACGTTTCGACTTCTCACTTTGGGCACCAAGAACTATAGTGAGTCTTGTCGGATCATGTACCAAGGGTTCCATTCCATCAACTCTTCTCCAGCATAACGAAGCCTCTAAGTGCCGGCTTGAAGTCAAGAAGTGACTTGTTAATCTGGAATTATCTCTTGTAAATCACTCTTGAGCCAGATTTTGACTCGACTTTCTTTTTCCTGTAGGATTTTGCAGGCATTGGAAACACCGCTTGAACCACAAACCTTTCAAAGTTGAAGACCGTGGTGTTTGTGCATGCAACGTCACTCACATCGTGGTTTCCTCACATTGCATCGCACCGCATTTGTCCCGCGGGCGGCGGGACATCTGACCTCACTCACTCACTCACTTCATCGCTGGATGGGCTGGGACAGATAGCCGAAGCGGATGCGGTAGGATCTGGTGGCCGAGACGGCCTATGCGGTGGAGGTGCGGGTTGAAGGGTTGGACTCTCCGGTGTCGTGCAGTCAGCGTGGAGGTCCGACAGAGGTCCAGACCCACTTGGTTGGATTTCTCTTGAACCACTGGAGAAATGCAGCATACAGATGCCTTGATCAGATCAACATGGTGTTTTTTGGAGGTGACAGGCTTGCATTCGCATTGACAGATGTCTTCGCTCCAGGCAGATGTGGAGGATCAGAGGCCCGAACGGGCCGTGGCGGCGAGGGGTGTTGCGAGACTGAGTCGACCACGGACCACGGAAGAGGGACGAAAATGGGACCCCCCCAAAGTATGGTTACTGTATTTCTTGTTTGGAGGCGGTGCAGTCCTTGGTGCTACAGTAGAAGGATGAAGGAGCCTTTCAGTAGAAGCGATTGAGAGTATAGGTGACACGTCTTCCCAGAGACTCCCGGAGTTTGCTCTGAACGGAGTTCGGTGAGCTGGAGCTCAGTTCAGCTTGAGCTTAGGACCAGGATCCTTCTCAGCTACAAGTCAGGATCTACAAGCGAAGCACTGATACGTAGCTGAGAATCCTTGAGAATTCATATTCTCAGCTAAAGGATTCTCAGCTTCTAGCATGATCCTTGGTACTCTCAAAGAGAAGTTCCATACGGGAAAGATCGTACGAGGTCACCGCCTTTTTCCACTTACAATTGGACTTTGATCCACACCGCCATATCGCTGGCTAACTTCCACGGAGCTGAGTCTCGGCAAAGGAGTGCTTTACTTCAACCAGCTTAGGCTTAGACGTGCAGGATGTCGAATTCGCAGGCCATGCATCCACCGGCTCCGATAGCGAAATCACTTCCCGACCAGGTTTGTTTTTGACTGATCCATCCATGTAGACTCTTGATGAACAACCGCCCATACGAAGAGGTGTTTCATTTCAAATAGGATGGTTTGTTAATCAAGAGTCTACACTACTCGGACTGATCTCTATGTCCTACTCCAGACATTTTCTGCAGACATCTGCGAATGTACGAGAGAAGACGAGTTTAGAGTTTGGTTTTGGTCCAGAATCCCTGTGCCCATGTCATGTGGAAACGCACCATGTACCGCAACTCCTATGCCTATGCCATTAAGCACCCAGAAGCAGCCAAAACGCACCAAAATGAAGAGATGTCAGAGATCGTCTCCAGGTATCTTCAGAATAGAGGGTTTTACATGGAACACAAAGATGCTCTAAGACTTTGTCACTTCCAGGCATCTCCAAGATGACCAAATAATCATGACCTTGGGGCCTTCCTATGACATGTGCTTTGTCGTTAGCTTGTTAGCACTCTAGTCTTCCAAGAGCACAGCCCTCCCCCCAAAAAACATTTAAACAGAACGTGATAATGAGCAGGTCTGAAAGGCTTAAGTCATGAGTAAGTGCCGAAGAGGTGTTTTTTACACTTCTACATGAGATAGCCCTTGGCCTGGGTATGAAACTCTATGTGTCATCTTGTTTTCCACTTCCGAGGACTCCACTATTCGTACCGAGAAATCATGATGCCCTGCCACGCAGTCAAGGAGAATGGTCAAGTGATCTTCTCAAGTGGTTCCCGAATCCATGGACACGCGCGGAACGGTGTTCGGTGTTCAAGCAAGTACCACGGTCTCTTGGGTCTCTCTTTCGCTCGCTCGTCGGCGAGGTTGAGGATGTGCACGCTCTTGGCCCTTGGCCAGGGTGCCCTAAGGATATCTAAGGAATAGCGGTGGAGCAGCCGGTTTGGAGATGTGCTGGCAGAAAGAGAGATGCTGGCAGCACCTCAACGCCCCCCCTCAACATCGAGGGGACAAACTGCCTGCGTGTTTGGGTCTTTGGAAGGAGTTTTTGTTTGAAAAAGGGCACTAGTTGTGGAGGATTGCCTATCTCAGGTCCTGTTCGTTGATTTTCGGGAAGAGTTCGTGGATTTTGGGCTAAACAAGGAGGCACCCCAGAAGAGGCCAAAAAACCAGTACGATATGCCTCTTTAGGTGCAGTGCATTTTTAGCGGGCAACAACCTCATCTTCTGCAGCTGCGGAGCTGGCTGTACAGACGACTGACGAAGCTGCTGAGGGAGCGGATCATGATCTTAGGGGAACGATTCTTGCGAGGTTCTGCGGGGTCAACCATCATAGGGCCCAACTACACGTGTTCCAAGCTCCCAAAGGTACACTGAACTCCCAAAAACACTTTCTCCCCTCTCGGGTCCTCCCCAAATAGACAGAATATGGAGTCCGGCCAAAAGTCTAAAAATCAAAAAAAGTAGATAAAGGGGTCGAAAGTAGCTTATGATGTTGTTTTTTCAATTAGATTATGTAGCGGGCCCCCAGCGAAACACACCTATTCTGCAGCTGGGCGCTAGGTTTGCGGTAGACTTGCGCTAGTGACGCTAGTGTTTGCCTTAGGACAGACATCTTAGGACATGTTCAGAACGTCGTCAGGTTTTTGAAAAGTGGTTGGCTGAAAAATGCGCTAGCCGCGCGCTAGCGCTGCGCTAGATCCGCGCTAGCAAAAATTGCCAGATTCCAGCGTGGACCCTTCCAAGGCTGACTTGCAACATGTCTTTTGTTTCGAGCATGGCTTGAAGCTTGGAGATCAGCTGAAAACGGTGCAGCGCTAGTGACGCCTCTTACAATTTGGCGCCGATAATTGTGTGGTCCATGTTTCCTGCATTAACCAGCTGTGCGTGCCAAAAGTAAAGAATATGTCGCGGGCCCCCATGTGAACACGACTTTCAGCCATTTTGGGAAGAAGACATTTCGACCAGATCCCATATGTGTTTCGATCCCAAGATGTTCACTCCGGTTTTGCATGTCACGCTATGGAAAGACCCACACCAGAGACTGCCGTAGACTTAGCTTAGACTGCTATTAATGCTTGGCACATCACACGACAGAGATGACTCATGATCCCTGGTTTTGCGCATCAGGTTACTATGAAACACATATTCTTGCGACGCTGTCTTGGCGGCATGCTCACCATCTTCAGTGAAGTATATAGCCAAGTCGAGGGGTTCGATATCCAAGACTGAACATGCACTCATTTGCGCCGTGCTGAATGCCACTGTTTCTCAAGGGTCTTGCTGATGAAGGTCCAATTGTGATCACTCTTTGTTTTCGGTATATGCATATATATATATATATCATATTGTTAACACGTGACCATCCCGGGACATGAAGGAAAAGTTGCGGCGTCTTTCGTTCGCTGCCACGTTTTCATGGTAGCAGAGCCGACCCGGGCGGCTCAATAAAGATACTCCGGGGAAGGAACAAAGATTGAGGGAAAGAAGAAGAATTGGTGGCTGCATCTCAGCAGTCAGCGGCAATGTCCCAAGAGGCCGTGAGGACCCTGAAGGAGATGAAGGAGAAAGATGGAAAGAAGGCCGGAGAAGGCTTTGCAACGGCCAGCAAGGTCGTGAGACCACCAAGCCGAAGAACATGGAAGAAGAGATCTAGGACTGGCGGCTGACCTTCAAGAGCTGGACTGTGTTTGCAGAGGACGCCTACCACAAGGAGATTGAGGCCATAGAAGGGTCAGACAAAGAGGTGAAGCTCATGTGCATGAGCAAAGAAGAGCAGGCCAGGTCAGAGAAGCTCTATGCCATCCTGGTTGGGCTCTTGAGGAATCGGCCACTGAAGCTGCTGAGGGCAGTTGGGGCCGCAATGGCTATGAGGTGTGGCGCCAACTGTTCACACAGCTGTAGCTGGGGTGACTTGGGTGTCAGCCGAGTGTGCTAGATCGCAGTGGATCCTCTGCTGGCGAGAGAGGGGGAAAAGCGTGGGTTTGTATCTCTTGCATTTGCCATGCTTCATCTTGCCGCCAACACCATTTTTTTAGGCCTGTTCTCAAACTGGTTAGTTAACTGCTAGCTAGCTTGGGGTCGAAGAGTCGAAGAGCAACGCAGCATGCTGCCCCCAACTTCGTTGCATGTTCCTTGAACCTACTGAACCGGCAGGCGTTTTTTGTCCGAGAACGGGTCTCGGAATCTTGGCCCGATATAGGCAGGCTCTTCGAGAAGAAGTGGAAGAGGAAGTGCGGAAGTGCCCGCCTCCTGAGCCTGACAGACGTTCTTCCCGTCCTTCTGGTCTCGTCTCAGGACCTTCTGTTTGCCATCACCTTCTCTCCACCGGGGCGATTTCAGAAGAACCATTTCCCAAAGAATTCTCACGCATCCTTTTGTCAGGAGAGAAGCCGGCGAAGCAAGTTCTCGATGTGTGGAACCCTGAAGCCGCACGGCCTTGGCCTGCCTTGGCTTTGGCCTGCCTTGGCTTCTGCTGGACAGCGGAGCCTGCAGGAGAGCATGGACTTGCGCCAGGCCAATGTGACGTCGCTGCTGCCCCACACGATCATCGCGCCAGGCAAATGTAAAGTCGATGCTCCGCCAGGCGATCCTACCGAGAGCAAAGCTGAGGCTCTAAAGGTGAGCCCCTCCAATGAGTTTCACGAAGGAGAAAGGCATGACGATGCTGGAGCAGCTGCTTGGACTGGAGAGGCTGGCTGAAGAGTATGCCAAGGTGGCCAAAGAGGACATCAGCGACAACACGAAGCTGAGTGTTTTGCTGCGGGTGATGCCGGCAGCGGTGAGACAGCGCCTTCAGCTGCAGATGACTGAGGACACCAGCTACAAGGAGGGCAGAGAGAATTGGTCTATGAACGAACCACGACATCATGGGGAAGCCAGGCCATCTACAAGGAATTGGCCATCGCCAAGGTAAGGAGCACGGCAAGAACGATTATGTGATCCCCGTGGATGTTGACAGAGTCAAAGGCAAAGAGAAGGGAAAAGGTAAAGGAAAGGACAAGGGCGGCAAGTCCACAGAAGGGGAAAGGCTATGTATGGCAGTTATGCCAACACGGACTTCAAGGGCAAAGGCAAACAACAGAAAGGAAAAGATGGCAGGCAAGGGCAAGGGTCTGTCACAAGACACTTGCAAGCTCTGTGGCGGTAAGGGCCATTGGAGCAGGGAATGCCCCATGAGGACATTGAGGCAGGTGAGTGAGACAGCTTCCACAGTGACCGCACGCCATCAACAGGCAGCAAGTCGGTGAGAAGAGTCGAGACAGTGATCCTGGAGGACGAGGAGGACATCGCCATCGAGTAAGGATGGTGGGAACAGAGACCTATGACCTCACCTACAGTGACATGTTCAATTATTATGAGGGCTTGGTTGAGGACAAGAAAGATGGAGGTTCAAGGCCCCAGAAGAAAGGAGAGAAGAAGGTGAGCTTTGTCAGAAGTGTCGCTGGAGAAGGTGGCCCTATGGTGATCTTCGACACAGGTGCCGACATCTCGGTGCTTCCAATGAGCTACCGGGAAGTGGGATTCCCGCTGGAGCGGGTGACTGCTTTGAGAGACGTTCACGGAGGTCAGATGACGAATAGCAGCGTGCGCCAGGCCGTGATTGAGCTTGAAGATGAAGAAGGCCACATGGTCGCCCTATCTAATGTCAAAGAACCCTCCTTGCAAGAGGTTGGAAGATCGAAGGAGAAGGAGATGTACGCCTGACACATGGTTTGTTCAGCAAGTGCTTGCAGTTCAGACGCAATTCATTGGTTGTGGACGCCAGAATTCGAACGGCTGGTGAAGATGTTGTCGAGAACCAGCCTGAGGAGGAAAAGAAGGTGAGAGCAGTGACCATGGAGTTCAGGGTTGCTGAAGTCATTGTTGTTGTAGCTGGATGGCACCTCACTGCTGATCAACGTGTTCCATTTCTGATTAGTTTGAGCACCACGTTCTACAAGGACTCATTTCCGCAGTTCAACCGGGTTGATTTCCCGTAGAGGTCAGCTGTCATCTTGAAGAGCGGACTTTGGGAATTGGTCGAGATGGCCGAACAGAAGCGGGATGAAAGATGAGATTGTGGAGTGTGAAGGGGAGGAGCTGAAGACTGTGAGCTTCTTCCATCAGACCGTGGACGACTTTATGTCCTTGGGAGTGATTAGCCCAGGTGATGACTCGCCATTCCTGAGGCCTGACATCTACAAGAAGTTCGACCTCGAGGAGAAGAAGAAGGAAGGGAGTGCAGAGGAAGGTTGCTTTGGAGAGAGCTTTGAAGATGGTGTCTATGAGGGTGAGGATGAAGAAGAGGAGATGGGTGAGCAGAAGCCACTTGAAGATGGTGACCCGTTTGGACGTCAGCAAGCACCTCTTCATGGCAAAGACATTGGCGCATGGGGTGCAAGAAGGCTGTCAGATGCACATCAAGCCATCTTCGCCTGTGTTTCTTTGGGCTATGCGCCATGCTGGATGGTTGTTGACGCACTACAGGCGACAAGGAGGAGGACCAACAGCCTACGAGACGAGGACTGGAAGAAAGTATTGCGGCAAGGTTGCAGTCTTCAAGTTCGAGCCCGGTTTGTGGCTTGGAAAGATTGGTAGAGCAGATGTCCACATGGTGGCCACGGCATCAGGTTTGAAGTGGACAAGGACCATCAGGACACCGGGTTTGGGCAGATTCAAAGCCTCTTCACTGGTGGGTAAGTTTCCTATAGTCCCATTGCCTCCAGCACTCGCCCCGGAGATCAGAGCAGAAGAGAAGAAGATGGTAAGAGAGGAGAAGTTGAGGAAGAAGGAGAATGAGGCGAGGCTGAAGGGAGATGAGGCAAGAGGAGAAAAGAGACAGGCAGGGGCAGACGAAGAGAGCAGCAAAGAGGGTGAGAATCCAGACATGAGTGAGTACACTCCAGCACACAG